CTCTCTGTAAACCGCTTAGAGAGGGCTGAAAGCCCTATGAAGCGGTATATAAGTCTACTGCTATTGCTATATTGCTATTGCTATTTTATTCATTTGATAAACATCCTCAATTTTCCATCAAATTTTTCTGTTTTGTGTTCTATATTATCCAATTTCTTCTCTATTTTCTCTGTTACTACTAATACTTTTTACATTTCAAACATAATCATTTGCAATGTTAAAATTTCTTTTTCCTGTTGCGCCATTCTTCCAACTTGTAAACACTGCCACTATAGCATTCAAGCCTTATTGTTCGATTTCAAGCATGTTCATTATAATCTTTCAAGTCAAGGCTTTGTCCTCCCTCCAATCCAGCTGCTGATAGAACTCCCGAAGAACACCTGTGTAAACAACCTGTGCTCTTCCTACTATCACTCTCAGTAAACAAGCTGAAAATCCTTGAAGTGTCAAATGATCAAAGAGAAAAAAAGGGGGGAAAAACCATGTTTCCAAGCCTCCAGCCTCTAACTGGCAGTGTTACTTCTTTTCCCTCTGTTGTTACAGCCTTCTTTATATTCCTCTTTTATCTTCTTTATGTTCCAAACTTAAAGAAAAACATTTCTTAAATGGAGAGAGAAAACAATCCAATCAAGCTTAAAAAAAAGAAACTTTTTAATCCATAGGTATAAAAAAGAATAAAAAGTAGTAGAAAAACTAATCCATTCAGTTTAAAAAGTAGGAACCATTTGCAAAAATTCCATTCATAAAGAGAAAAATTAAAAAACATAACACACTGTTTAATGTAGTTTAATTTCACCACTTACAGTGCTTAGTTTTTTTTGGGTAGTCTCTTTTCTAATAATAAAATTTTTTCACCAATTCGACACATTTTCTCTTTCCGCTTTCTTTCCATTCCGGAGCTGTCCCAACTTCAGAGCTTCAATGGCTGCGTTTCTGTCATCAGAAATAAGAGCTTCTCCTGGATCAATCAGGGACTTTGCGGTGTCCCTGAGATCAGCAGGACATACTCTCTCTATCACTGTCTCTACGGGACGGTTTAGGTCCAAAAGGACCGTCTAGTGGTAGGAATATCGACTGTGATCTTGGAATCCAAGATTGCATGTCGTGTCATTGCAACGTCAGCCCTCCTTCTCCCTGAGAAGACTGAGAATAGTTTTGAGTCAGTTTCAAGAAGCCAAGCGTAAGGTAAAAAAGGGGAAAAATGCCAAATTGCAGTGTCAGAAATCAAATTCTTAGGATATTTAATTGATGGCTCAGGAATCCACCCAACAAATAGTAAAGTTAAAGCCATTAAGGAAGTTGCCATTCTAAAAAAACAGATAGAATTACTCAGCATTCCTTGGCCTGTTAAATTTTTATAGCATTTTTCTGTCAAAGAAAGCGACAGTTGTGGAACCATTACATCGATTGTTAGATAAGAAGGTGAAATGGACTTGGGGACAAAAAGAAGCTGCTATAGTCAAGGCATTTAAAGGACTTTTGTCTCCCTGAAAAGAGTTCTTGTACAATATAATGAGACTCTACCCCTCATTCTGATTTGTGATGCCTCCCGGTTTGGCATTGGAGCTGTTCCCAGCCACCAGATGCCAAATGGGACTGAGGTTCCCATTGCATTTTATTCAAAAACCTTCGTGTCAGCCAAATGGATCTACAGCCAGCTGGATAAGAAGGCATTGCCTGCAGTAGCGAGGGTCAAGCGATTCCAGGAATACTTATATAGAAGGGATTTTGAATTAGTTACAGACTGCAAACCACTTCTAGGCATCATTGTGGGGGACTGGCCCACTCCAAACATATTGTCACTGCAAATGACTAGATAGACTAGATCTTCCTAGTGCCATACAAATACCGACTAATCCACCAGCCGGGAAAATGCCTTGGCCATGTGGACACACTCAGCTGCTGCCCATTACCAGAAGTCATCCAGGACCTTGTGCCAGTCACACCTGTACTCGTCATCAAGGACTTTCCGTCCAGTCCAGGCATTTTGAGCGAGATAGCAAAACACTCAACTCGGGAGAAAACTTTGGCACAAGTTTTGAACTGGGTGTGGAGAAGATGGCCTGGGGGATCAGTGGGGGGTGAATGGAAACAATTTCAAACTCGTCAACATGAATTGTCAGGCCAAAAGGGATGTCTATTTAGGGGGTTGATGATCTTTACTTTTGTACATAGCAACATGACATGGAGAACATACAGATCTGAAAAATAAACGAAACACTTAAATCACATTTCTTTTCATTTCATTTATTAGATTTATTTGCTGCTCATCTTCTTTTGAATATTTGCTTTCTTCTAACAAGCATCCGGGTACATCTGGTTTATTTGCCATTCTCTAAGCAGTTGTATATTGACAGCAAAGGCCATGAATTTTATAATTGTCCACAGATGGTACTGCAATCTTTATCAACGACACTGTTGAGCTTCACTTTCTGTGCATCACTTAGTTTATCCCATGGTTCTGCAAAGCTGCACATGGAGATTTGAAAACGATCACCAGAAATCCACCCTTTTGAAATAGAAAAGGTGCAAAAATATCCTGTCAATATACAACCACTGTAAGGATTCATTCACAACTTTAACCCTAATCTGAATCTGAACCTGATCCGTTGGTATTTGGCCCACGTTTTAAGTAGGGAATGTGTCAATTCCATATAAGCCAACTTTCTGCTTTTCTCAGCAAATCTATAATTTTTAAAAAGCGAGCTTTACATCTCTAAGGGAACTGACAACACATTACCTCACTGACACTGGCTTATCCCTCCAAAAATGCGATGGAAGTTGACCAAGTAGTACTACAGAGCAGATTAGTAAAAATGATAATGCTGAAACAATGT